TTTTCAGTGGTTGATTTTTTGGAGAGTAGACCATCAGGGCTTTCTTCTAAGATGGCTCTAGGTGTACTTGAACTGCCAACCATTAATTAGCAGCTGAGTGCCTTAACCATTTGCATCACCCAAGGACTCTGTAAAGTGTTGGTAGAAATTAAAGTTTTTCGCTGCTGATGAAGAAGCAACCCACAAAAACCCATAAAAAGTTAAGATATTCTAAAAGCTAGTTGTAAAGGAAAAGCAGATACTTATTTTGACTTGTTTCTACAGAATTATATTATACTTGTTGGTATTGTTATTAGATGATGTCGAGTCGGTTCCGACTCATAGAGATCCTATGTACAACAGAATGAAACACTGCCCAGTCCTGTACCATCCTTACAATTGTTAGTATGCTTGAGCCCATTGTTGCAGCCACTGTGTCGATCCATCTTGTTGAGGGTCTTCCTCTTTTTCACCAACCCTCTTCTTCACCAAGCATAATGTCCTTCTCCAGGGACTGATCCCTCCTGATAACATGTCCAAAGTATATGAGATGTAGTCTTGCCATCCTTGTTTCTAAGGAGCATTATGGTTGTACTTCTTCCAAGACAGATTTGTTGGTTCTTTTGGCAGTCCATGACATGTTCGATATTCTTCACCAACACCACAATTCAAATGCGTGAATTCTTTGGCCTTCCTTATTCATCGTCCAGCTTTCACATGCATGTGAAACACCATAGCTTAAGTCAGGTGCACCTTAGTCTTCAAGGTGACATATTTCCTTTTCAGCACTTTAAAGAGGTCTTTTGCAGCAGATTTGCCCAATGCAATGTGTCTTTTGATTTCCTTTTTTGTTTTTTGATTTTTTAGTGAGTATTAGGTGAAGTGTCTTTTGATTTCTTGACTGCTGCTTCCATGGGTGTTGATTGTGGGTCCAAGTAAAATGAAATCCTTGACAACTTCCAATCTTTTCTCCATTTATCATGATGTTGCTTATTGGTCCAGTTGTGAGGATTTTTGTTTTCTTTATGTTGAGGTATTATCCATACTGAAACCCGTGGTCTTTGCTCTTCATCAGTAAGTGCTTCAAGTCCTCTTCACTTTCAGCAAGCAAGATTGTGTCATCTGCATAACACAGGTTGTTAATGAGTCTTCCTCCAATCCTGATGCCCC